TTACAAATGAGGACAATAGAAGCAATCAAAAACCATCAAAAGAGCAATAATATGTAAGTGCTGTGACAAATCTCAGTTAGCCTAACGCAGTACACGTAGCAAGGTTTTTTTTATAATACACAAGAAAACAAGTAGATAGAATAGCTAAAAATAGAGAACAGAGTTAGAGGGTCTCTCTTCTTTTTTTTATAAAGAAATAAAAGTTGAAAGAATAGAAAAAGAATTGATAATGTTAGTGTTAGAGGCTCTATTTTTTAAAGGGGTCATATGATGCGATTTTATTTTTTCCTTTCTCTTTGGAGTGTTACAAGCTCTTGGTGCATAAAGAAGATCTGTAAAGTTGCAAAGACTAAAGTCTCAAATCCAAAGAGATATTCTTTATAAAAGTTAAGAGTTAGCCACACCTACCTAAAACGGCTCGTTCTAACACGCCCCCACATATCTACCTCACTATGTGGGAAGATTTGCATAACGCCGCCCAAATGTTCACGCAAAGAAAGAAGGCGTAACTTTTATTCTCGCTGTAGTATTGTTGCCGCTGCCGCCATGTCCTGAAGACGCTGTGTGTTTCGTTGTGAAAGCGAAGCTACTTTGTTTGGTCTTCCAAAAGAGGACGATATCCGCTTCGTCATGCCTAGAGCTGATCTGTGCTGGTCGCTGAGGGAATACTTCAACTTAGTGCTGTGGATCGCCGGATTGGCTTTCACCGTTTTCCCCGCTCCTTTGCCGGGACCGCCGTTCTCGACCCCGCCGCCTCAGCTCACTCTTGCCCGGCTTCAGCTCAGGCTAAGCCGGGGCTTTCGCTCACGCTAGGCCGCTGTTTTTTTCGTTGTGAAAGCGAAACTACTTTGTTTGGTCTTCCAAAAGAGGACGATATCCGCTTCGTTATGCCTAGAGCTGATCTGATCTGTGCTGGTCGCTGAGGGAATACATCAACTTAGTGCTGTGGATCGCCGGATTGGCTTTCACCGTTTTCACCGCTCCTTTGCCGGGACCGCCGTTCTCGACCCTGCCGCCTCAGCTCACTCTTGCCCGGCTTCAGTTCAGGCTAAGCCGGGGCTTTCGCTCACGCTAGGCTGCTGTGTTTTTCGTTGTGAAAGCGAAACTACTTTGTTTGGTCTTCCAAAAGAGGACGATATCCGCTTCGTCATGCCTAGAGCTGATCTGTGCTGGTCGCTGAGGGAATACATCAACTTTCATCGTGGACGAAGCGGAGTCCAGCCCGCCTCAGCTCACTCTATACCGGCCTCAGCGCACGCTAAGCTGGGGCTTCCCCTCACGCTAGGCCGCTGTGTTTTTCGTTGCCCCTGATGATTCAAATGCGAGTTTTGGGCAGTGTGGAGTAGCGCTTGTTGTTTGTCATTTCTCTGATCACAAATGCAGACATGGTTTTATGTTGACATGGCGGTATGCAATGCGTAAAAAGACAGTATACGTCATTATAATCCGTAATTATGTCCCCACTGGATGGGTTTTAATGTTTTTGTCTCGTTGCTCCGGCCGGACACGGCATCAACACAGTATGGTGAGGGGCGTAACATTTCCGTCTCATGCTTGAGGTATTCGGCCAATCACAACGCATTGGATAGCTGGCCAATCAGAGCACACCTCGCTTTTTCAGACCGATGAGCTTTGTAAAAATCGACGCGTTTCAAAAAGGCGGGGCATAGAGGAGAAACAATAATGTACAGTATGTGGAAAATAATGTGTTTTTTAAACTTTAAACCGCATAAACACATTTCATTACACCAAATACACAAAATAATGTTCTTTTTAGCAACATCTTATGACCCCTTTAATGTCACACACCATTCTTATACATTGACTTCTCAATTTGACTTGGCTGCTCTGTGTTTCGCTTCATGTTTCCAGGTGAGAGGGAAGATCAGTGCGTACCTTCACCAGGAGCAAAGCGGCAAGGGGAAGCTGGACAAACCGTGGCCGTCCAGCCTGTTGTGTGTCATGGCAGATCAGACATTGTTCTCAATAGTCGAGTGGGCAAGAAGCTGTGTCTTCTTCAAGGAACTAAAGGTACAGCTCTGAGATAAGACAAAGTGCATGTGTGTGTGTTTATACATGTAGACACACCTCTGATCATCCAAATGATTCTCTGCAGTGTTTTGTCTAATACTATTTTGGAGAAAGTCTGCTATTTTGTCGCCAAACCACGTATCTTACCGAAAGATAACATTTAGGCACGCCAAGACATTCAGATATTGTGCATGTTTTGTTGCAGCATGTTTGTCAAGCAGTTTCAAAAGTAGGATTACATTTAATGTTTAGATTGTAGTGGTATCACTGATATGTGTCAAAGTCCAAATTCTTGCTCAGTTTCCAAAAAGTTTTGGATGGATGTTAACATCCTGTGAGGAATTTTGGCAAAAAGGCATAAGATGGGAATTCGGAATCTCGAATTTGGACACTCAGTTACTATATTCACATCAGGGAGCGTTGCAAATCACAAAAGCTTCGTTGTTGCTGTGATTCCCAAACAGATACAGTGTTGACATACATAGAATTTGCCCTCTCCAAGCTCTCACCTCTATAAATGTCTTAATCGTCGGTCTCGACTCATATTCGGTCGATAAATAACTGCATGTTCCAATGAATTCAAGCAAATAATGCAGAATTTCAAACTTTGTTTTTGCACATTCACACCTGCATGACCGTCGCATATTTTTCATACAGTTCATTCCATTCTGCAGCCATGGCAGCTAGCGTTCTGCGATTGCTAGCATAAAATGTGTCAGAGTTGGAAAACGCATGCCAGCGACTGACTCCTGCAGACACAACGCTTTCAGAAACAATTACATTCCGTACAGCAATAGCTCAGCAATTGTTCCAGACTGCTGAAAGGTATCGCGCGATGTGGAAAATGTGCATTTGGATTGAAAAGCACTTTAATAAACTCAATTTAGTGCATGTTTGTGTACATACTAGGGAGGGTTTGTATCCACAATTGCGAGAGAGGTCAAGTTTCCGGGGCTCGAGGCTGTGGGTTAGATGTGGATATACGGTTTGAGTAATATTGTCTGGGCTGCGGTTGATATATGTAGCGCTACGCTTCTATTAGGGCTTTACTGTCGCCCACTGTGCGTAATACTGACACAACGTGGCCTTCAAAACGCTGCGTACTGTATACGGACAGAGGATTAGTGGGGGAGGAAGACAAGAGGCCGATGAAGGACGAGAGGTGAGAAGGTGTCAGAGGTCATCATTTGGTGCTCATAAATACAGTGCATTGGATGTGCGCTCGACGGCTGCTCGTCACAAGGACTCTCATTCCCGCGATTTATGTTCTAGCTGTTCATCTGTATACAAGGGTTGCATTTCTTTGGGTTTTAGACTCAGAGATGACATGCTCGTGTACTACGATTTGAGTAAAACCACCTGAATGTCTCACATTTATTGTTGTTTAGGCCTGTTGAGACGTTTTATTCTTTAGAGGAGAATTGTTGGCAAGGCTTTGAAATATTGGTCACTACATATTTTGTAATATCTTTTGATTTTCACAAAAAGTAGTCAATTTCCTGTTTGCAGCTATTTGATATAGTCTGTATACAGTTTCTGAAGCTTTTATCACATACACAAACACTCAGTTATAGGCAAGCTCTGAGATCTCAAATCAAACCATTCACTCAGCTCTATTTACAATCCTTGTTTCATTCCAAACCTGACTTTCTTTCTTCTGTGGAACTCAAAAGAAGATCTTTTGAAACATATCTCTGTTTTTTTGTCCATACAGTGAAAGTCAAAGGTCTCCAATGATGGTTTGGACTCCTTGATCTTCACTGTATGGACAGAAACACTTTTTCAAAATATCTTCTTTTGTGTTCAACTGCTTTTGTCCATACAGTGGAAGTCAGTGGGGTCCAAAACAACACTGGACCCTGTGTATTTTAGTAGTATTTCTATGCTATTATTGTATTTATTAACGTAAAATCTCATTACATTATAATCTCATATTGAATTTTTACTCGAGTAGTTTTGTTAGTTTTAGTAATTGTGTTACATGGTTTTATTACATGCTTCATTTTTGTTAGTTTTTTTTTTTTCTTAAATATTTATATTTTATTTACATTTCAGTTATAGTCCACCATTGTGACTCGCATACTATTTCCCACTCCTCTATCGCAAGACTCAGGATGAACATTTCTAGTTTTTATTTTTTAACTTTAGGTTTTTCATCTAATATTAGTTTTTTCAGCTTTATTTCTATTAACAAAAACAATAGTTTTAGTATATAATTTAACAACACTGAACCCATTCAAATTCATTGTATGGACAAAAAAGACAGGCTTTTGTGTTCCACAGATAAAAGAAAGTCATGTGGGTTTGGGATGACATGATGGTGAATGAATGATGACAGAATTTCTGAATGAACTATCGCCTTAAATTACAATATTATGCAAAAAATAAATCAGTATCATGGCCTGATACTGTAAGCATGTAATGACTCTTCATTTCTCCTGATTTAGGTAGGAGATCAGATGCGACTGCTGCATAACTGCTGGAGTGAGCTGCTGCTTCTCGATCATATCTGCAGACAGGTGCATCATGGGAGAGATAACAGTCTGCTACTCATTACAGGACAGGAGGTGAGTGTTTCCAACCGTCATCGCTACGGGAAAGCATCACTGTTTGCAGAAAAGCAGAAGATGTTAGTAGAGAGAGTGTAGTGAAGGTGCTGTGTGCTGTAGGTGGATCTGTCGGCCGTGTCTGACACGGGACCTCCTCTGGCCAGTATGGTGCAGAGAGGACAGGAGCTGGCCAGGAGACTGCAGCTGCTGCAGGTGGACAGAAGAGATATGGCCTGTCTGAAGTTCCTCATCCTCTTCAACCCCAGTGAGTACGACTGCATCCCTATTATTCACACGACTTTTAAGTACATACAGAGGCACAGAGTGGAACTGAACTGAACTGAAGAAAAATTATGCAAAACACAAAGAGCCAAAAACAGGTGTGATTGTATTTTTTCAAATTCTTCCAGGAATTTTTAGACAAGTTGTTAAGTTAAGATTTAATGATTGATTTTGTATAATCATAGACCTTAAAGTAGTTCTCAACTGCAAACGTCATGATGATTTACAATTATTTAAAATAAAAACAAGTATTAAAACAAACTAAAGTGACAAAAAATCAAGGCATTTCTTGTTTTAATGGAACAGTCATGCAAATGAATTAAATCTTATAACATCATGGGCATTTTTATGCATTTTGTGAATATTTATATTTTTTTATTTATGCCAAGCTCCAAAACGTTATATCATGTAGAAATAAATACAAATATTAATTAACAAAATATAACAACATATAATAAATAATATAATAACATATATAAAAATAATAATGTAACAAATATTAATAAAATATCACAAACAACTGGGGAAGTCATGGGGATTTTTGTGAAGAATAGTGAGCTTTGAAGTCAAGAAGGATGAGAACCACTGCCTTAAAAGGAAAAATAATATGAAATATATGATGATTTTATGTGACAACATGCCCTAATCTTAAGGCTAGATGGGGTAAATTGGCACAGTGGAGATTGCCATGAAACAGTCTAGTAGAGATTAAGCAAAAATGTGAACAGTTCAATAGTTATTAAACAAAACAATTACTGAAACAGCAAGAAATGTCAAAGACAACACAAAAATGTCAAACCACTGACTGGACAAAAAAAGTAATACATTGTATAAAATTACAATATGTAATCACGTGACAAAATTTGTATTGCTCCAATACAAATGTTACATCCTGACATTCCTAAAAAAAAAAAAAAAAACTTGTCTTCTGGCCTACATTATTTAGTGACTTTTTTAAACGTATGCCAGTGTGTGTGTGTGTGTGTGTGTGTGTGTTTAAACTAGATGTAGGTGTTTAAACATTTGTTTAATTTGACCTTCTAGTTACAGAGATCTTACATGAAAACTAGCCCTTGTCTCCCCTTTATCATTTAAGCAATATTTTCAACATATTTTGATTTTGGAGGCACTAATTGTAATCATTATATCCTAAATACAGTACAGTTTAATAAATATAGTGGGCACCAAATTAAATAAACACAGCACCTCTAATTTCTTGTACCTAGAAACAAACCTTTTTCCTAGAAATGTCCAATTTCAGTTTCATTAGGCACAATAAACAAACAGCTGAAAGGAGAAAACTGCATTTGAAAGCGAAATAATTTGTCATCTCCTCTCGCTCTGTCACATTGATTTTTTTTAATTCTTTGCCTAAATGGAAGCAGCTTTATTGAGTAATTGTGTCCTTCAAATGCATTGAAAAGATTATTCAACATGTTAATTACTGCGTGAATGGCTCTTCTGATGAGCTCTGCTAATGCTTTAAAGTGCTTCATTAATGGGTCCAGCTATTGTCGCCCAAACACACACACACACACACACATCTCTACTTGGATTATATGGCTATGTTCAGACTGCCCAAATCCGACTTCTTCTCTCACATGTGACTCAGATTTGTGTTTTCATAACAGCACAACTGACATGAAATCTGATTTTTTAGATTCCGCTTTTGGGCCACTTATATGTGATACAAAATCAGATACTGGTCAGACGTTTTGCAATGCGAGCTCATTCTGAACGGTCAGTCATGAAACTTTTACGCCACTTTAGATCAACGTTAGTCACAATTCTGACAGGAGTCTCTCCAAAGATTAATATGGAAGGCAGTCATAATGGTAGTCAGTGGAGGGACAGTGAGGAATAAGTATTATGGTGACAGCAGTGATGGGCATTTTCAAAACACTGCTTAGACAGCTTTGAATCGTTTGCAAATCATTTGTTTTGAACCGGAGGTTTGGAGCGAGTATGAAACTGCCAAAGTCACTTGGCCGGGAGTTTGATTAACAGGCGATCTGATCAATCATAACTCCGAACCTGCCATTTTGTCGGACAAACAAACCAGAGAGTACATTAATGTCGGTGGACTTGAACTTGAAAAGTGGTGTTTTGACTTCTTTTCACGGATGAAACAAGATACCCTCTGAATTTCATTCATGTTCATTTCGAAAGAGGAAGAGCTGATTGGTTCACATGCTGCTCGAACCGAGGTGCTACAGCAATCTGTCACGAAACATTAAAGAGCGACAAAATGGTATTTATTGTTTGAATTTCTTAAAAAGTTGACAAAATTTGAAAACTAAGACTTTGTTTCATACCAAAAGTAACCTGCTTTGTCTTGTCTGTCGGCAAGTTGTCAGTTTCCTCTTTGCTTCGCAATGTTTTTTTTCACTTTGTGAGAACATGATGTCTGGTGTGAGAGCGCTATGGCTTGTCTGGCTTGTTGTGAAGGGTCAATTAAAAGGAAGAGTATTAGTTAATAGTAATTTATTGTCCTGTTAGCCAAGCCTTCCATAGAACAAAAAAAAAAATTCAGTTAATAAAAGAACACAGACACTTCATATTTAATGGCATTAGATAATAAGTTATTGCATTTGTTAGAATTTGAATTAAACTTTGAATAAAACAACAAAAAGTGTTTTAAAAGTTGTTTTTATGCATGTTTGGCATAAGTTTTTGTTGCATTCACACAGTTTATGGAAGACCGTTTCCATCACTGAATAAAAAATAAAAAAGGTAATTGCGACTTTTTCTCACAATTATTTTTTCTCGCAACTACATCATATAAACTCGCAATTCTAACTTTTTTTCTCAGAATTGTGATATAAACGCACAATTGCGAGATATAAAGTCAGAATTGTGAGATATAAACTCGCAATTCTAACTTTTTTTCTCAGAATTGCGAGAAATAAAGTCAGAATTGCGAGAAATAAAGTCACAATTTCGAGATATAAAGTCAGAATTGCGAGAAATAAAATCACAATTGCGAGATATAAAGTCAGAATTGCGAGAAATAAACTCACAATTGCGAGATATAAACTCACAATTGCGAGATATAAAGTCAGAATTGCGAGAAATAAAGTCAGAATTGCTAGACATAAAGTCAGAATTGCGAGATATAAAGTCAGAATTGTGAGATATAAAGTCAGAATTGTGAGATATAAAGTCAGAATTGCGAAATAAAAAGTCGCAATTACCTTTTTTTTTTTTTTATTCAGTAGCGGAAACGGGCTTCCATACCAGCAGGTGTCAACAGTGTGAAGTGTTTCGAGCGCTTCAAAACTGAATCATTTTGTCAAGAAAAATAATATTGAATTGCTTCAAAAAGGTTCATTTCTCCCATCATTCTCCCATCAACTTCAGAGGAAACTAGAAAAACTGACCTTTTCTTCATACTTGTCTTCATCCTCATCACCTGCGCACAAATTTGCACGCTTCTGCGGCACATCAGAGTTAAAAACTGATTTCAGTGTACTCTATGTGTACTCAAGTCTCAATTGCATTCAAATCTCATACTGGCCACATTTAAAACAATAATGGGAACAGCCATACAAAAAAAAATATCTGAGCAATAAATCAGAACTGAGCAACCAAGACTTGCATGGTGAATGTAGCCTATGAGACCTGTAATGATTTTTCTCTCGTCTGCAGATGTGAAGCTCCTGGAGAACCAGCAGTATGTGGAGAGCGTTCAGGAGCAGGTGAACAGCGCTCTGCTCGAGTACACACTCTACTCTTACCCTCAGTGTCTGGACCGCTTCAGTCAGCTCATACTGCGGCTGCCTGAGGTCCAGTCACTCAGCGTGCAGGCCGAGGACTTCCTGTGCTACAAGCACCTGTGTGGAGAAGTGCCGTGCAACAATCTGCTCATAGAAATGCTTCACGCCAAGAGGTCCACCGCTGTGTGAAAGTGACACTGCTTTGAGAGTTTAAGCCATATGCGCAAAATGGATGGTGAACAGTTTTCCGAAGGCAATGCTTTCTTACCTTATGTGATGAATGTACAGAATTTGTTCATTTGTATTGTTTTTAAATCATTTGAGCATGACAATCATTGGTGGACGCGGAGGTGTTTTTATAGTGTTTTCTTCTTCGTGCCGTTATTCTCTTGGCTAAGCGTGATCTCTGCAGTCTATAAGAGCGATGTTTCATTTGAGAACGCTTATTTATGTATCTCCATTATTTTATCTTAATGCTCCTGTGCTTTTGAATGGATGATGAGTATTGTAATTTCTTTGTTTTTCAAATGCATTTATTAAGTTGGTATTTAAAAAACATTCCAAAAGGGCCTGTCCAAAAATGAATCGAATGAAACAAAAGAAGGTATTTATTGAAATAATGTAATTAACAGTATCAGTTCAACTATTTAAAGCACATTTTTACATAGATTACACATTTATTTGTCTTTCCATTTAACTGAAAAAAACTGGTTGCAATAAAATAAAACAAACGACACGTTGCAGTTGTTTGAAGACTGTGTGTGTGGCAGTCTAAAAGCAATCTTACTTTGAATGGCCATGTTTCTAAAGACAGACATGCTGCTCCGCTCTGAGTGTCTCTTCAGTGTGCCAATAAAAAGAGGTTATGGGAAGGTCAGAAAACATTCACACATGTTGCCACCTTTGTGAGCGTATAAAGAGAGAGTGCTTCTTTTGAAATCCATTTGAACCAATTATTTTTCTATTCATTTTTATTCTAATCAAGTGTATCATTTGAAAAAAAATCAGTATTCATGAATGACAACAGAGATACACACTTTCCACATCAATACAAACAAATTAGTTTTAATAGTGGGAGTAAAATGTAATACATAATGCATTTTATATGCATTGTATAAAAATAGGGAATGCCTATTACAATAAAATACTTATTTACATTTTTGCGTTATTTCAATTGGGTAGTAGAATTACAGCAGGAATAAATCAAAAACAAACTATTAAAAATAAATGCTGTCATGATAAGATAATCTTCACAAGCTTGCTATTTTGAGCACTAGACTTTTTTAAATAAAAAAAATTAAATAAAATGTGTTATTGAAATGATATATAGATCTCTACAGAAAGATCAAACAGCTGATAGGTGTCATTGTCCACAGTTTTCTTCTTCTGCAAAATACTGAATGTAAATCTCCACGGATGGGCTGCTCGTTCCCAACCGAAGTCGAAAATCACTAACAACTCATTCTGTTGTCTGGTCACGATTAATGGTGTGATGATGCTCATGTTGTCCATTTTTAGTACTGTGAGCCTCTGTACTCTGACAACATCTATACATTATTAAATGATGACCATATACACAACGCTGAGAATTCTTTACGCTCCGGGCTGAGCGCAGTCTCATTGAACATTTGCTGAAAGAGTCGTTTCATGTTTATCAGAAAACTTTTACTCACTCAACACAGACTGAGCTCTGGGAATGAGACGGCCTGCAGGATTGCGGAGGAGGCAGTGTTCGCTCCTCCACAGAATGAGCTACATCTTCATCCCAGGTTAAGTCACGAGTCCATGCAGAACTGTAGTGTGTAGTTTTCCTCTCAACAGCCTGTGGTGAAGCAAAACGGCATGATTTAAAAATACCAAATATTACTGGATTCAAATAGTGTAATTTGTTGAAAAGTGCATCAGTACTGCGCTAGTGAAGAACTAGTGCGCCCCCTAGAGATTCAGTGTGGACACAGCAACAGGTTAATGTGAAAGTTCTCTTTACCTGAGGGTTTAAAGGCTGTCAGCTGAACCACCTGAAACACAAGATTGTGCTGTAAGATCAAGCCAAGTCAATTTGATTTGTATAGCGCTTTTCACAATACACACTGTTTCTATTTATAACAAATGGTTATCAGGGGAAGTTGTGGCCTAATGGTTAGAGAGTCGGACTCGTAACCCAAAGGTTGCGGGTTCGAGTCTCGTACAGGCAGGGATTGTAGGTAGGGGGAGTGAATGTATAGCGCTCTCTCCCACCTTCAATACCACGACTGAGGTGCCCTGAGCAAGTGGGGGGAGTGAATGTACAGCGCTCTCTCCCACCTTCAATACCACGACTGAGGTGCCCTGAGCAAGGCACCGAACCCCCAACTGCTCCCTGGGCGCCGCAGCAAAAAATGGCGTGTTCACTGCTGTGTGTGTGCACTTTGGATGGGATAAATGCAGAGCACTAATTCTGAGTATGGGTCACCATACTTGGTCACAAGTCACGTCACTTATTGTGACAAGCCTAATTACTATTTGATTATGTGTATTATTGGCACGGTTAAGTGCTGCGTATATGATATCAGTGAAAAATATGTGTGGTTTGCAGCTTACCTGACTTCTGTTGGCTGGTTTCAATGGGAAATTCACAATATGGTCCTCTTTAAACCGTTCTAACATATAAAGAGGAAAGGACAGAGATGCTTTTCTAAATGTCATGTTGACTTAAAGCGACAGCTGCAGATGGTGGATACGCATGAGTTTCACGCACCGTTCTTAAAGACGAGCGAGTTGGCTGTGGAAGTGGTGATGGGAGTCGAGCTCTCGCTGCTCTCTGGGCTGGAATGAGTCGGCAGGCTGTGTACCCATGAAGCACTGGGAGATTTCTGGGAGGGCAAGAAGCTGATAGGCTGTGAGCAGTTCTGCAAGAGGAAATGACATCAAAAGTGAGTACAATAACAGAGAAACAGATTTAAACTATTCAAATGAGCAAAATGAGGTCTTACTGTAAATGACAAAGCTTTTCGCTTGTCCTGAATTCTTCTTATAGCGTTTCGCACCTACATTATCGTAAAACATTCGGACACAGTATTACGTTGTAATTTAGAAATGAAAATCACACAACTTCCTCGTACTACTAAAATATAAGATAAGAAATGTAAGAAATACAGAGAAATATTGTAGAAGGCATACCTCACTGTTGTAAACCGCATACACCAGAAAAATATACAGGCCCTAGAACGAGAGGAGACCGTTAATCAAATAACATTTCCCCACGGCCGTACATTTTTAAACTTTATAAAAGTCACTAGAAGATGTTTATATGTAGAGCTTATTTATAATGGTGTATTTGGGCCATTCTGCTGTACCTTTTGCAACCATGTCAAAGCAATAATACATGAATAAAAATAAGATGTAAATAATTGATTGTGTCAATCTCAGAAATGTATGGATCATATTTCATCTCCAAATCTACAAATTATTTGAAACAAAAATTATATTCTGCATAAGGAAAATGAAGCTTATTTCTGGGTCATAAATCATTCTCCAGGCACGGAGGGATTAAATTAAAATACAATTTTAAATTCAATTTAACAAATACTATACCATACAAACAATAATAATAATAGTACTTTTTTGCATTAATTCGATTTTTTTATTATTTTTTTGCATTACAGTAATGAGGTGGAAAAGTGTTGAATTGCAATAAAAATAATGTCACTATGCCGTTTTTAAATGCAAAATATAATGAAAATTCATAATGCTATATGCAAAATAATTTCGGGGTATAAAATGACAGGAGATAACAGGTTTTGTGAGTTTCAATCAATTACTGTGTTTTAAAATTAAGCAACAGAGAACAAAAGAAAGAATTTAAATTAAAATCATAGTATAATAAACATTAAATGATTTTTTTTTCTGGGCCAAAATATCAAAAAAATGCTTAAAATATTGTTTGCTCATTATTTATTTATAAATATAATTCTTATATTTAAAATAAAATGTAGTACGATCTACATTTTGACGATCTGTCTGAAGATTCGGTGTCTGTGGTGTAATAAACTGTTATTATAAATATATTATTATTTATTATATATTATTATAAATAACCAGGAGAAACTTTTTTGTTTTATTCTCAGCTCTTGTTATCAGTTAGCGTTGAATACAGCTAACTGGAACGGTCCATGTTCTTCCTGCATCTTTGCACTTGCTGTTCTCAGAGACCTCTGCTACATAAAACATTCAAGACAGATCTGCACTGGCTAATTATATCAGAAGAGTTTCCTTCCAGTGATGGAGTCTGCTCACGTGTCTCCTCCTCTCTGTCTTCTGTTTCTTTTATCTTTTTCCCAGACGCACACAGTAAATCTACATTAACAAGCTCTGGGAGGGAATTCAGCTCTCATTCATTATAGACATGGGAGGAAGAAAGAGACAGTCCGAGAGAGCTACATGAAGCTGAAAACAGAGAGAGGAAGTTCATTTCAAATGTGTTGACAGACTGGAGTCTGATTTAGAGGAAGGCAAAGCGTGCATGGAAAGTCAGAGCTGGCCGATTTTGACAAAAATGATAAACATAATTATTTTTGTCAATACTGAGATCACAGTTATTTAAAATGATTACTCATAGACTTTGGAAACATCATGCATTTATTGAACTGCAAACTTATTTTTAACAGTATATTTCCTTGAACTTTAAAAATAATTCAACTGATAAAAAAAGCTTCATATCCATAGGTTTAAATTAATAAATCTTTAATAACCAGGAGAAACTATATATATATATATATATATATATATAACTGCTACAAAAAAACTGAAAATAATTTTTTTTGAAAAAAGATTTGAGGTTAACCATATGGGAGGTTTACCTCAAATATCAAAAATCAAAGTTTTATTCTCAGAAGTTCATAGCAGTTAACATAGAATAAGCCATATATTACAGCTAATACACACACACACACACACACACACATTAAAATGAATAAAAAATAAATAAATAAATAAGATCAAAATGAATAAATATTGTGGAAGCACACCATTGCAGTGTTACTTTAGCATCATTGGGATAATATTATAGTTTTTATAAAACTATAAAATTTTCTGTTTTCATTTTATAGTAATTTTTGTCATTTTTAGTAGTTTTTGTTTTATAAATATGCGTCTATATAGATTTAAATAATTTTTTTATTTCAGTTTTAGTTAAATTATTTTAGTACTTTAAATTGAACTAAATTAAAATGAGAAATATTGCCTTGGCAACTAGCTAAGTTTTATTTATTTTTATTTTTTTCAGTTAATATTTATTTTATTGCAAGTAAATAAATAAATAAATAAGATCAAAATGAATAAATATTGTGGAAGCACACCATTGCAGTGTTACTTTAGCATCATTGGGATAATATTATAGTTTTTATAAAACTATAAAATTTTCTGTTTTCATTTTATAGTAATTTTTGTCATTTTTAGTAGTTTTTGTTTTATAAATATATAGATTGCGTCTATATAGATTTAAAAAAAATTTTTATTTCAGTTTTAGTTCAATTATTTTAGTACTTTAAATTGAACTAAATTAAAATGAGAAATATTGCCTTGGCAACTAGCTAAGTTTTATTTATTTTTATTTTTTTCAGTTAATATTTATTTTATTGCAAGTAACGAAAATATTTATAACAATGCACCACTGTAACGGAAAGGGTTTATAATACAAGACAAAACAACAGTTCAAATCCATGTAACAACATAATTTTGATTTCATAATCACTGTAAGCTAAAATCGTAATTGAAAATAAATGTGAATAATCGCCCAGCCATAGTATAAGTGTCGTGTGTTACCTGAAAAGCATTGAGTGTGATGAACAGATAGGCCACGACAACAGATAAATGCACCAGCACTCCACACAGCCAGGTCAGACCTAACACTGGTAACAGGATCAATACTGGCCTCGTCGCTGCCCTGCATGTGCACACAAACACAGTATTAATCCTTCATATTACTGAATGCATTGGCTAGGCTGCTCAGTTTTACTTCAGTATGACTGAAACTCTTCTTCAAGGACACTCTGGGTCTCTGCTTAACTAGCTAATTATACAGACACTTCTGATTCATTTCTGCTCATTCATTGTAGGAAGTATCCATATAACAGAACAAACTAGTCTCTGTGGCTATTTGTATGGTATCTTCTCAAGTCCAGGTGGCTGATAGGAATAAATGAGTTACTGGCGGACAGGTGCTTTCTCGCTGCTTCCTCTGTTCAACAAGATAAGAGAAGAACTAGAAATGGCTGAAACTGCTCTCTATCTCTTAACTCTGGCCTGTTTTTATTTCAAAGGAAGTTGAAAAGTGAAACATCATTCACCAGGTAAGGTCCAGCGTGTGAAGTTTCGAATCAGAGCTGGGCGTCAGCATTTTGGCTCTGCGACGTGCACTGGCCACTGTGACCATTACAACCCGAAAAAGCACCACAGCGTTGACCTAAGAACAGAGAACCACATCTCTCATTACAAAACAGTAAAAATCTCCCTTTAATAGGTGAACTTATAATAGCTGTGAAGATTTGTGGATTTTTTTTTATGCTGTGCCTTTAAGAAACGACTCTGTCATGTTCATAGCAGCAGGGATGATATATTTATGTAGACCAAGAAATGAGTTAGAATTTTAATTCCATAGCCCCAAAGTAAATGATTAAATGGTTTTTGGTTAAATGCCAGTCTGCAATGAACACAAGCGCAAAATATTTTTATGTTTTCTTTTATGATATAAATTTTATATATATTTTTTAAAGCTTTTTGTTTTTTACAGCCTTATAATAATCACATGGTTGTAAATGATTCTATCCCAAACCTTTAGGGAAAATGTTTTTAAATAAAGACTGAAAGAGTTGTTGAAAGCTTAATGTGTAGTTCATTTATAGCACATGTTTAGCTTTTTACATCTGGCTACTGTATTTAGGCTTCAGAATCAATCACATTTGGGAAGATTATCATGATGTACAAAACATGCAGCAATCAGAAACTTTTTTTTTGGTCACACAGCTTATTTTCTGCAACAATCCAAAAGCCAATGGAAAAATCCTATTGGGCAAACTTCTGCATTTGGCCTACAAAAATATGTGTTCATAGTGACAGTAACACACATCAGAATGAGTTCGTTCAATAAATAATCATTTTAGGCTCAATAAAATCTGGAGTTTATAATTTACAGAAATGTACAATATGTATTTTATGCTTGCAGAAAATATGCTTCCTGATGATACGATCCCTTAAATTTATTTAATGTGCTAACAACTTTAAATTTGAATTTGAATTTCATTTTTCAAAATCTGATCATTAGCATTTAATATCCACATTGCATTCATGCATTTAGCTGACATTTTAATATAAAGTGTCCTTTGCAGTCCAGACTGCTTTAAAGCCGTGAAGTAGAAAGTCTAATGTATCTGAGTGCAATGTACTATCAAAAAAAAAAAAGGGGCGGGACTTGATTCTATCCAACTGTTGTTGATTGGATGGAGGAAGACTGACTAAATGATTGGAGAGGTCCAGCATACGTCACCAGAGAAAAGTCTGTTGTTTCACCAGAAGATCCAGTTATGACATTTTGATTAAAGGGGTCATAGGGGTGATGCTTTTTTAAAGATCATTATTTTGTGTATTTGGTGTAACATGTTGACATGCTTTAATGTTCAAAAAACACATTATTTTTCAAATACTGTACATTATTGTAGGTCCTATATGCCCCGCCTCTCTCAAACGCTTCGTTTTCTACAAAGTCCCTCCTTCCGACAAGCGCAGTCTGCTCTGATTGGCCAGCTGACCCAGTGCATTGTGATTGGCCGAACACCGCAAGCACTCGTCGGAAATGTAACGCCCCTTACCATAATCGCGAGCTTCATCTTTCAAAATAAATGTAAAGACAGTAAATAATGTCATTAGTTTTACCATCAGTTCAAGCCCAAAAGGGGAACAAGTCGCGTGACAGACACAATGATGAAGCTGGTATGTGTACACAAGCCACGGTTAAGACAGCGAATTCCACTGTGATGTGATCCTGTCTCTCTCTCACACACACACGCGCACACACACACACGATGCGCAAAACTCAGCATTTGAACA